TAAATTGTACGTTTGTGGGTGGTTCTTTATTTGTTCACGTGTTTGAGTGCATTGCTGACGTCTAGGCTAAGCTAAACGCGAAGTGCTTGTGCTTGCGATCGTGGTGTGTAGACAAATAAATAGAGTTTGGTAGAGCCAATCGGAGACATGCTCATATAAAGTCACAGACACACGCGTATAGTCCTACACCTGCGGACACCCATAAGTACATACGAACACACATACGCAAATATACATCACCAGTATACGTACACACATATGTAAATATATATCTCCAGTATACGTACACACATACGTATATATATAAAATCAGTATACGTACACACATACGTAAATATGTATCTCCAGAGTTTACCTGCAACATGTATAGGCATGTCGAGCGCCACATAGCTAAAATTACTGCAAGCAGCGGACATGCAACGTAGAAGTTCACTGTGTCTCTAGAGATTGTTTTAACATAACTATGTAGCCCCTGAATCATACACATTGTTGTATACATACGTAGTCGAGAATATGTGTGTAGAATACGCCAGCCGTATGCTGAAGACACTATTACAAAACATAGCGTCATAGGAAATACGTACATGTGTATCGCATATATATATATATATATATATATATACCCATCTGGCATACCTTCGCTGCGGCTGTAAGGTCTATTTGCGGCTTCGTCGAGATCACAACTGCTGTTTGCGTTAAATTTCCCTCCCAACGCAGAGATGGAGACGCCACTGATTGTGTTGTGTGTGACGTTGTGATCTTTTACGACCATGCCTGTACCGTTATCGCATTGAATGCAGTGTTAATTTGAAGCATAGTAACTCTGTGCGTAGTTTGATATGAATGTGTGTAGTTTGCACACAATATATATATATATGCCTTTTCGGTAGCTGGGAGGCTGAATCTTGCTTTTTTAGGAACGAGCTGGCATGTGTATGCGTGATTCATATCTGATAGCTACACAGGCATCACTACCTAACCATGCATAAGGGAGATCCTTTATTTCATCTAGTCAAACCATAACCGTACACCTCTTCTTTCCTACAGTTTAACTCAGAACATACCTACATGTACCAACATATATCTACATATACCTACACACAGCAGACTTTCTAGCAAACTCACCGAGAGCTTTTGCCAATAGATCGGCGCTGCCTGTGCCCAGGTCAAAGTAATCGAGGTCTAGTTTAGACACCTGTCCACTCGTCATGCTGGTAGACCGCCTGTGTCCTCGGCCTTTGCGGTGATTGGGTGCACCCCGTCCTGGATTTTCGGCCCCACCCAAGGTGCTGGTTTTAAGGTTATCTGTGTACGGGTGTGTGTGTAGGTGAGTGTAAGTGTGTGTGTGCATATTCAGATTCCACCCAGAGTGCTGGTTCTAAGGTTATCTGTATACGGGTGTATGTAGGTGAGTGGAAGTGTGTGTGTGCATATTCAGATTCCACTCAGAGTGCTGGTTTTAAGACGAGTGTGTGTGTAGGTGAGTGTAAGTGTGTGTGTGCATATTCAGATTCCACT